AACATCTCCACGTTCAAATGCCAATGACTATTTATACTGAATTTTGCTAACAGTTGTGAGAAGAAAAACCAAATTAAAAACACTTTTTGGTGTGAAGGACTGGCTCCTTTCCCCAGGGATACAGATATATTCAGGAGACATACCCCCAAGTCGAGCAAGAAGCCAACAAGAGCATCGGGCCAGCACAGAGGAAGGTCCATCACCAAAAGTTTTACTTGGTTTTTTTTTTTTTTTTTGGAACAAAATAGCCCAGTGTTATCTCCAGCACTTGGATGATTTCTGTCCCCAGTCTCTGGTCCCTTGTTTGCTCCCGCACTGGTTATTTCTGAATCAATTCACACTTCCTTGTGTTGTAGTTACAAAGACTCTAAACCTGGTTTGCATGAACTGCATCCACTGAAGTGCTGGATAGCTGGGGGTTTTTTCAGCTTCTTTAGGAGCTGGGTTAGGGAAAAGTACAAGTTAATATTAAATTAATTTGGGGAAGATGGAAAGGCAAAACAGACTCACCGGGGGGATATTCACTGAATTTATTACCAACAAAATCAGAGCAGGAGAATCAGAAGGAAAATAAACCTTACAAACACCTGCCCCCCATCCCTCCCTCCTGCCCGGGCTCTCCCTTCACCCCCTCCAGCAGCCCAGGGAGACGGGAATGGGGGGCACGGTCAGGTCACCACGGGTTGTTCCTGCTGCTGCTCAGGGAGACGAGTCCGAGTCCTTCCCCTGCTCCAAGGGGGGTTCCCCAAAGGCTCTCACGTCCTTCCAGCAAACCTGTCCAGCCTGGGCTCCTCTCTCCAGGTCCCCACCAGGACCTGCTCCAGCACGGGCCTCCCAGGGGGTCACAGTCCGGCCCGGGCATCCCCCTGCTCCGGGTGGGCTCTTCATGGCTGCGGGTGGATCCCTGATCCATCCTGATCCATCCTGATCCATTCTGATCCATCCTGATCCACCCTGACCCTCCACGAGCCGCGGGTGGACCCCCGATCCCTCCTGCCCCACGCCAGCCCTGCCCGGGCCGCAGGAGCGCTCCCGGCGGAAGGAAACGGCTCGGCCGGCCCGTCCCTCTTCCCTCCCCTTCCGTCCTCCCGCTCTTGGGGCCGTGGGGCGGCCAGCGCGGGGATCCGCTGCCGGCGGGTCCCGATGTGGTGCTGAGGCGCTCCCGCAGCATCTGTCGGGGCCGTTCCTGCGGTTCCCGCCCCGGGAGCTGAGCGCGCTGAGGGGCCGCCATGGGCCGCTCCCGCTCCCGGTCACCGCCGCGGCGGGGTGAGGGGGACAGGGGCTGAGGGAGGACCGGGGCTGAGGGGGGTGAGGGGAGTGAGGGGACCCGGGGTGAGGGGGATGAGGGGAGACGAGGGACGAGGGATGACCCAGGGGGGTGACCGGGGGTCTGTGGGGGCCGGGGCGGCTGAGGGGGCTGGGGGGGACCCGGGAGGGGCCGGGACCGGGACCGGGATCGGGATCGGGGGGTCCGGGCCGTGCAGGGCTGTTGGAAGGGCCAGGCCCGGGGCTGGAGCGGGGTCTGGGGTGGCCCAGGGGTTGGAGGGGTCCGGGGACTCCCCAAAACCCTCCAGGGCAGGGGCGGCGGTGAGGCCTCGGCTCCTCGCTCTGGGCAGAGCAGAGGCTCCCTCCCTCCCTCCTCATCTCTTTCTCCTCCTCTTCTTTCTCCTCCTCGTCTTCCTCCTTCTTTTCTTTTTCCTCCACCTCTTCTCCCCCTACTCCTTCTTCTCCTTCTCCTCTTCATCTCTTCCTCCTCCTTCGGCCCTTCTCCTCAGCTTTTTGGGGCCCATCACCCATCAGCTGGATCCCCCCAGTCCCGAGTGATTCCCACCTCCGGAGTGGAGGCTTTTCCTGCTGCTCTTCCCACTCCCGGGGGTGCCCGTGGGGGTCCCAGAGCCCAGAACTCTGCTGGGGGGTCAGGGAGGGCTGGGACATGGGACAGGGTATGTGAGGGTCCCTGGGCCTGGGGGTCAGGGAGGGGCTGTCCCAGGGTCCGTGCTCGGGAGCTGGGATTATCTGTCGGGGTTTCCCTTGGGAGGCGGGCAGGGAAGCAGGAGCTGACCCTTCCCTGGGCAGAGCGCCGGCGCTCGCGCTCCACGTCCCGGGACAGGGACAGGCGGCGGCGGGAGCGATCCCGGTCCCGGGACAGGGACAGGAGGAGGAGCCGGTCCCGCTCCCCGCACCGGAGACGATCCAGGTGAGGGCTGGGACATCCAGGTGAGGGCAGGGATGATGCAGGTGAAGGCAGGGACCAAGCAGGTGAGGGCAGGGACATCCAGGTGAGGGCAGGGATGATGCAGGTGAAGGCAGGGACCAAGCAGGTGAGGGCAGGGACATCCAGGTGAAGGCAGGGATGATGCAGGTGAGGGCAGGGATGATCCAGATGAAGATGGGGATGATCCAGGTAAGGGCAAGGACATCCAGGTGAGGGCAGGGATGATCCAGGTGAGGGAAGAGACATCCAGATGAAGACAGGGATGATCCAGCTGATGGCAGGGACATCCAGGTGAGGGCAGGGAGGATCCAGGTGAGGGCAGGGATGATCCAGCTGATGGCAGGGACATCCAGGTGAGAGCAGGGACATCCAGGTGAGGGCAGGGATGATCCAGGTGAGGGAAGAGACATCCAGATGAAGACGGGGATGATCCAGGTAAGGGTGGGGATGATCCACATGAGGGTGGGGAGCATCCAGGCCAGGCAGGGACACCAGTGTGGGGTGGGGACAGCCAGGTGAGGGCTCTTGGGTGACATGGGGACAGTGGGAGCTCCAGGTGGGAAATCCTGGCAGGAATTGCAGCCCCACCCCGTGTGTCCCAGCAGGTCCCCGCGCCGGCACCGCTCCAGCTCCTCGTCACCAGTGCGGCCCAAGGAACGCCGGGATGAGGAGAAGAAGGAGATCAAAGACTCCAAGAAGGAGAGACAGATCACAGGTGAGGGGGGGATTTTCCTTCTGAAACACTCCTACGTCCCCTGTGAGACCAGCCCAGGGATACTGGGATTTTTGGGAATCCAAAAATCCATGTTTGCCCAATCCCCAATGTCATTGCCTCAGAGGAGGATCTGCAGGGCAAGACAGAGGAGGAGATTGAGATGATGAAGATGATGGGCTTTGCCTCCTTCGACACCACCAAGGTGAGTGCAGGGCCTGAGGCCACCCCTGTGGGCTCCGCGGTGTCACCTGCTCTGTCTGGGGACAATCCACGGGATTTGGGGAATGTTTCTCCTCAGGGGAAGAAGGTGGATGGTGCTGCCAATGCCTACGCCATCAACGTGTCCCAGAAGAGGAAGTACAGGTGTGTCCCACCTTTTTTTGGGATAGAGAAAGGATTTGTTTGATGAGGTAACTGTGGCCACTGCCCTTGGGGTGATCCAGCTGCCAGGCCTTGGAAAAATGGGAATTCTATGGGGTTTACAGGCAAAAACAGCGGTGAGAGGTGTTTGGATCCCCCTGGAGATGGGAAAACGGGGGGGTGAGGAGTGTGGGGTGGGCAGGATTGGAGCAGTGGGGAGCGACGCTGTTCACCTGGTTTATTCCCAAAGAACACCCAATTTATCAGTTCCGTTCCCTTTTTGATGGGAATTTGAGGGTAGAGACAGGCTGCGCTCCCGGGATCCCCACACAGCCCACCCTCCAGAGCAGCTCCTCACTGGGAGCCTTCCTGCCCTGTTTTTGGTCAAATCCATGAGGAATTGGGTTCCCTGTAGCTGTCAAGCCCTATTCCCAGCCTCCCCAGGGTGTTTTTGTCCCGATTTCCCTGGATCCAGGGGCTGACTCTGGCTCCATCCCGGCCCAGGCAGTACATGAACAGAAAAGGAGGATTCAACAGGCCCCTGGATTTCATCGCCTGACACTGGGACACGGCCCCCACCACGGAAGGAGTTTGCTTTCCTGGGGGAATCTGGTGGCAGATTCCAGCGGAATTTGGGTTATTCCCAACGAACCCCATGGTCGAAGCTGCCCCAAGTCGCCGTTTCCCAGATTTTTGGTATTATTTTTGTACAAAGAGGTCAGTTCCTGGCCGGGATTTTGCTGTGTGTTCCCTAGTTTTGCTTTGTTTCCCTGTTAATAAAACCCCGGATCTATTTCCTTTAATTTTTATCATTCAGGGATGGAGTGGGGGGGAGAGTTCACTGCAGACCTCTGGAGTTACCCTAAAACGCAACATTTAAACCCAATTCCCTCTCCCACAAATCGTTGGGAATTGATGCAAACCCATTGAATCCCGAGGGGCCCCATTTGAGCCCTGGGCTCAAACTGGAGGTGCTGGGAGTGGGGGGGCTCTTTCCTATCACCTGACTCCAAAGGGGGTCCCTGCACCGGGGGGTCCCTGCCCTGAGGTGGGGGGTCCCAGCCATGACGGGGGCGTCCTGGGAGGTCCCAAGGATCCTTCCTCGGGGGGTCCCTGTCCTGGGGAGTGTCTGTCCTGCAGGATGGGTCAGTCCCTGCCCCGGGGGTGTCTGTCCCTATCCCAGGGGGTGCCTGTCCCTGTCTCGGGGGTCCCTGTCCCGGGGGGTCCCTGTCCCTGCCCTGGTCTGTCCCTGTCTCGGGGGTCCCTGTCCCGGGGGGTCCCTGTCCCTGCCCTGGTCTGTCCCTGTCCCTGTCCCGGGGGGTTCCTGCGGGTCTCACGTTGTCCCCCCACCACAGAATCTGATGCCCCGCCCCCTTCCCCGTCCGGCCCCGCCATTGGCTGCGCGGCAGGAAGTGAGTCAGGGGGCAGCGCGTGCGGCGGCGGGGCGGGGCCGTTGGATGGGTGGGCCAATGGCAGGAGGGCGTGGCTCTCCCACCCAATCACAGCGGGCGGGGGGTGGGGCCTTCGGGCACCGCCACGCCCCGCAGCGCCGCTCGTGCGGGTGCTGGGCGGGGCTTCCTTCAGAAGCCGCCAATGAGCGGCGGCGGTGGGCGGGGTCTCCCCCAGCGGAGGCCAATGGGCGCTGCGGGGGCGGGGCCCGCGCGGGACCTGGCGGAGCGGCCGCTCGGGGCGGGCAGAGGCCGCCGCGCCCCCCCCGCCGCCGGACCGGCCCGTCCCGGCCCCGCCATGGCCGCCCCCCCCCGCCTCGGCATCCAGATGCTGCTGGAGGCCGCCGAGTTCCTGGAGCGGCGGGAGCGAGGTACCCCCCACGCATCCCCTCCCCTCCCCGCGCTGCCCCCGCTGCCCTCGGGCCGGGCCCCGCGCTGACCCGCGGCCGCCGTTGTGTCTCCGCAGAGGCCGAGCACGGTTACGCCTCGCTGCGGCCCGGCGGTAAGGACGGGGAGGCCTCGCGGCGCCGCGCCAAGGCCCGCAGGAGCAGCAGCGGCGGCAGGTGACGGCGGCACCGGGAGGGGCGGGGGGGACCGGGCCCGCTGTGGGGCTGCCGGGCAGGGCCGGGGGCTCCTGACACCGGGGGACCGGGCCCGTGAGGCTCCGCTGTCACCGGGGGTGTGCCAGGGCCGGAGGGATCCCCCCGGCCCCAGTGAGGCCCTGTTGTCACGGGGCTCCCGGCAAGGCCAGGGGGACCCTCCTGTAACCGGGGCCCGGGCCCGGGGAGGCCCCGCTGTCACCGGGGGTGTGACAGGGCCGGGAGGGCTCCGGTCACCGCGGGACCGGGCTCTGGGGGATGTCCCACTGTCGTCGGGACTGTGACCACGTCAGGGACACCCTCCTGTCCCAGTGTCACCGGGGGTGTGACAGGGCGGGGGGGGCTCCTGTCACCGGGTGTCTGGGCCCGGTGAGGCCCCACTGTCACTGGGCCTGTGGCCAGGCTGGGCTGGCCCCCTGGCACAGGGCTCTGGTTGGGCCCCACTGTCACCAGGTGTGTGACAGGGCCGGGGTGACCCCCCTGTCGCCGTGTGTCTGGCACACTGTGAGCTCCTGCTGCCACCAGACACGTGGCAGGGCCGGGGTGACCCTCCTGTCACGGGGGTGCTCAGTCCCTGGGGGATCCCTCTGTCCCCAGGGTGTGACAGAGCCGGGGGGACCCTCCTGTCGCTGTTTGCTCGGGCTCTGGTGAGGCCTGTCTGTCACCAGGTGTGTGACAGGGCTGGGTGGGGCTCTGCTGCCACCAAAGTCCTGCTGTCACCGGGTGTGTGACACCGTGGGCGGGACCCTCCTGTCCCCGGGTGACCAGGGCACGGTGAGGCCCCGCTGTCACTGGGTGTGACAGGGCTGGGGGGACTCTCCTGTCACCAGGGGACCAGGCCCAGTGAGGTCCTGCTGTCAGAGGGCTCCTGGTGGGGCTGGAGGGGACCCTCCCGTAACCTCCTTAATTATCTGCCCTGAAATCCACCCAGAGCTTCCCTATTATCCCTGCCTGTTTTTTTCTTCCTGTTGTCCCTCCCTGTTTTTTTCTCTCTGTTGTCCCTCCCTGCTGATTTTCAGTCCTAAACCTAAAAGTCCTAAACCACCTTTCCCCTGAGTTGAAGTCGACTCCAAGCACCCACATTGAATTTCTGGAGTAGATCCCGCCATCCCAGGAGCAACAGGAGTCACCCTCGTGCTTTATTCCCTCCCTTTAACAACCTGAAATCCCCTTGGGTGGCTCTGGAGGGGGAAGGATGAGCTGTTTTGGGAAGGGCTGGCTCCGGGCTGTGCCTCCGAGCCAGGGGAGCTCCGAGGGGCAGCGGGTTCATCCCGACACGTCACCGGCGCCCGCCGGAGCCAGGGAGGAGCCGGGCGGGGATGGCACCTCATCTGTCACCACTTTCCTGCTCGGGAGCAGCCCCGACCTTTGGCAGCCGCCGGAACAAATCCACCTGGACGTGCACGTGTCCTGGCTCCCGGGGTGCTCCCGGTGTTCTCCCAGCACCCTGTCCCACCCACGCAGGTGTCCCTGGCTGTCAGGGGGGGTGGGGGAGGCAGCTGAGGCCCCGGGGTCTCGTTTCAAACAGGCTCCAGGTGAATCCAGGGGTTTGTCCTGCCAGGACACGCTCCAGGTTTCCCTCTCGGAGGATTTTGTTCACTTCAGGCCAAGCTGTTGTGTTTTTTTTTTTTTTCAGGAATAAAAAACGCATTCCAAAGGGAAAACTGGTGATCAGCCCAAGTTTTAATTAGTGGGAATTGTAGTCAGGGGCTCCATGGATATGAAATCGCTCCGGAAAGGATCGGGGAGCATGTGGATGTGTTCCATCTGCTCCAGGCTGAGCTGCCATCCCCTCTGTCCCTGTTTATTTTATCCAAAATTAAAATCCATCAATCATTTAATATTTTCCTAAATATTGGTGATGGTGGATGCGAAGCAAGAGGGAAAACATGCATTCCAGGAAGGATTCAGGTGGGAGAGAGGATGGGTTTGTAATCAGTTGAGGGTGATGGGAGCTTCATCCCTGTCTGTGCTGTGCTTGGGAAGTGTTTGGATAAGTTAGGATCAAGGGAATGGCTGCAGCCTGTCCCAGCCCTGTGGTGAAGGGCTGGGTGTGAAACACGTGCATTTATTGGCTCAGACATTTTGAGAACCGTGAGGGCCGTGGCTTTTGGGAGCTGATGGCACTGGGAAGCCAACAGAGCCTCTGGATTCGGGTGATCCATCAGGAAATGCTGCTGGCAAAGTGAAGGAGACCCTGGAGAACATCTCCCACTGCTGTGTTGGTGGCATCCCTAGTTTTTCCTTCAGTGGGATCCCTCCTTTTCCTTTGGTTCCATCCCTTGTTTTCCTTTGACATCTCTCATTTTCCCTTCAGTGACATCCCTCTTTTTTCCCTTTGGCACGTCCCTCGTTCTCCCTTCAATCCATCCCTTGTTTTCCCTTCAGCACTGGGACAAACTTGCACTCCCAGACCCCCGTGGGGCCATCCCAGCAGACATCCCTGTCCCAACAGCCCGTGGATCATTCCCACCCTTACATTTTCAGGCCATGTAACAACATTTTCCCCAAAGTCGAGTGGAGCTTCTCGAGGCCTCCAGAGGTTTTAGGAAGGCTTTTAGGCCAGGGAAGCGGCTCTTCCCCAAGCATCATTCCTGGGAACACGGGCAGTGGGGCCTCCTGTGGCTTCTTTCCCAGATTTCAGCAGGAATTTCGCAGCTTGCGTTTTCCATCTTTTCCCAGCTCCGTGGAAATTTGGAGCTTCGGGGGGTTTGTCGTGGATTTGACGTGTCAGCAGCACATTCTGAATCTCCCCTGGAGCTGCTCCCTGTTGCTGGACACAGGGAAGGGTGTTTTCCACATCTTCCTGGCATTTGAGGGATGACTTGGAGACGGGGGTGGGTGTTGGGTGCCAGCGAGGACTGGGAGGCTCCTGGTCCCTGGTGTGTCCTGAGCCAGTTTGGGGATCCCACTCAGACTCTGCCCAGGGTCGGGATGGAGCAACTTCCCATCACCGATACCGCTGTCAATCCCAGTCCCAGCTCTAAGGCTTGCCCCTGTCTGGATTAAAATCCCCTTGGACAGTTTTCCTGACCCTTTGTTTCCATCTGTCTGGCAATTTCCCCATCTGCATCCTGCCATGCTCCCCATCCCTGGGCATGGAGCAGCTCTGGGAGCCCCCCAGGTTTGCAGCTCTTCTAGGGAGCCTTTGCTAATTCCAACATGTTAATCCCAACTGTTAATCCCTAATCAGCCAGAGGAACTAATAACTTCTTCCTTCTTTTCCAGGTCGACACACAATGAGATGGAAAAGAACAGGTGAGTGCTGGAGGTTTGTCAGGAACTGGGGTTTGGAGGAATTGTTGCTTTTCCAGGGGTTTTCCAGCAGAGATGGGTTGAGATGGGCGGTGGGAGGGAAAGGGTGGGATAAAGGACACCAAGGATTGAAACATTCCCTGTCCTTGACTGCTGGGAATGATATCAATATCCTCTGCCAGCTCCCACTCATTCAGGAAAATTGTCTTTCCACAGGCTCATCTTTGAGCCAGTTGAAGTTTGGGATTTATCCCAAGAGTAAATCCCACTTTCTTTGCCTGTGTTGTCATCCCGAGGTCCTTTGGGTGAGGAAATCCCTGTTTACCTCCCAGTGTATCCCAAACAAGACCAGCAGGTCCTTGCAAAATCCCAGTTTGGAACTGCCCAGGATCGGGTGGTTGAGAGATGGGTGTTGCAACCCACTCCCAAGGATCTGACCTACATGTTGGGATTGGAGCAGTGGACACAGGGAAACTGGGATGTGCTGAGAGCATCCCAGGTATCAGCAGGTAAAGGGATTTATTTCCTCATGGAGCCAGAGTTTCCCTCTGGCATTAACATCCTACATGTTAATGTGGAGAAAACCAGGATGTTACATGGAGAGGGAGGATTTCTGGACCATGGTCAGTGCTCCCTCAGGGATCTGGTGTTGTTTTGGATCCAAAACCACCCTGCTCCTAATAAAAGTATGGAAAGGAAGTGCTCCCAAGGGATTTACAGCTGGGTGTTGACCTGGGCAGCTTCAGCTGTCAGTGGGAACCAACCAGCATTCCTGAGGTGGAGATTTTTGGGAAGAGAATGAACGTAAGTGGATAGAATTCCGAGGTCATTGGCATCTCCCTGCCAGGAATCACCCCCACAGCCCAGGGTGCCTGCAGGGTTTATCTGTGAGGTTTTCCAAGGGGTCCTTGGGCCTGGCTGCGGTTTTCTCCCAGTTCCTGGAAGCCCACGGAGAGTGGGAAGGCCCCTGGGTGGGTTTAGCTCCCCCCAGCCCAGTTTTCCTGCCCTGGGGAGCTGATCCAGCCGTGTGCTCCCGTTGCAGGCGTGCCCAGCTCCGGCTGTGCCTGGAGAGGCTGAAGGGGCTGGTGCCCCTGGGGGCGGCGGCCGGGCGGCACACGACCCTCAGCCTGCTCACCAGGGCACGGCTGCACATCCAGGTGAGCCGGGAACACCGGGATCCGGCCCCGGGAAGGGGGGCAGAGATGAGAGCAGCACCCCAGGACAGGGCGGGGGGCTCGGGGGGTGCTGGGAGTGGGCTGGGATAACTGGGGAGGGCTGGGATTGGGCTGGGATAACTGGGGAACACTGGGACTGAGATGGGACAACTGGGGGAGCACAGACATCGGGCTGGATTAACTGGGAGAGCTCTGGATTGTGCTGGGATAATGGGGAGTGCTGGCATTGGGCTGGGATTACTGGAGGAGGGCTGGGATGACTGGGAGAGCAATGGCATCAGACTGGGATAACAGGGAGCTCTGGGATTGGGCTGGGATAACAGAATGTTGAATTGAGCTGGGATAATGGGGAGTGCTGACACTGGGCTGGGATAACTGTGGGAGTGCTGGGATTGGGCTGGGATGACTGGGGGAGTTGAAATCCATGCGGCTCCACATCCCGACTTGGGAGCCCCTCGGGAGCCGGCGGTGGCCGTGCCGGGATTGCTGGAGCTCAGGGATTGCGGGAGCTCAGGGATTCCGGGAGCTCAGGGATTGCTGGAGCTCAGGGATTCCGGGAGCTCAGGGATTCCGGGAGCTCAGGGATTGCGGGAGCTCAGGGATTGCGGGAGCTCAGGGTGCCGCGTGTCCCCCCGCAGAAGCTGGAGGACCTGGAGCGCCGAGCCCTGCACCAGATCGAGCAGCTGCAGCGGGAGCAGCGGCACCTCCAGCGGCAGCTGGAAAAGCTGGGAATGGAGCGGGTCAGGATAGACAGCATCGGCTCCAGCCTTTCCTCCGAGCGCTCCGACTCGGACCGAGGTGAGAGCCCGCGCTGCGGGACGGCCGGCGGGAGCTCCGGCCCTGCCGGGACTCCAACCCTTCCCATTCCTCCGGCAGAAGAGATGGATGTGGACGTGGAGAGCACGGACGACCTCCCGGCCGACCTGGACTGGAGCAGCAGCAGCCCCAGCGACTCGGACGAGCGCGGGAGCCTCCAGAGCCTGGGCAGCGACGAGGGGTATTCCAGCTCCGGCGGGACCAGGGCGAAGCCGGCGAGCAGCCGGAAGCTTCCTCTCGGGATGTAGGAAGCGCTTCCCGCGGCCGTTCCAGCGGCGCCGTTCCCGTGGGATCCCGTTGGCCAGCACCCCGACCCCGCCCCAGCATTCCCCGCACGGAGACACCCGCACGTCCCGCCGATCCCGCAGATCCCGCTGCTCCCGGGGCTCCGCTCGCACCCGCCGGGATCTGCTCCGCCAGGCCCTACATTCCAGCCGCGCTTGGAAGCGCCCGGGAATACCGCGGCAGTAACAGCGACCTCCAGAGCCTTCCCTGGGTTCTCTCCCGGGCTGTCACTGCCCGGTATTCCCGATCTCCTCCGCATCTGGCCGGCGGCATCGTGTTCCTGACGCTCAGGACCCAAAAGCTGAGTTTTTGGGAGCAGATCCGAAGGCAGAACCGGCCTCTTGTGGAATTTCCATCTGGGAGAGAGCGGAGCCACGTTGGGAACCCGCCCACGGAGCATTTTGGGTGGGCACAGGGATCGGCCTCAGTCGGGGGGTTCCTCCTCCCCCGACTCTAAATATTCAGGGACACCCCATCCCGGCCCTCCCGTGGTCCCGGAGCATTCCTGGCGTGGGGAATGGCAGCCACCCCTCGGAACAGCCACCTCCGGGCTGGGAAGTTTCTGCCCTCCCTAACCCCAAACGGGACGTCCCACCTCCCGTGGCACGGCATTCCAGACTCCTGGAATTCCTTTTCCACGCTTCCAGTCTCGGGGACAGTATTTCTACCTCGGAGGGAGCCCCCGGCCTCTCTCCACCCCTTCAGCACAAAGATGATGCCTCCGCTCAGCAATAACCCCGCGGGACCCCCCGGATCGTCCCCGGAGCACTTCTCCATCCAGCCGGGATCTTCCCAGCTCGGGGAGGATTCCAGAAGCCCCCGAGGGCGGGGAGGGGTCCCGAGCCGGAGCACACTGAGCTGTCCGTGGTGTTTGTTCGTTTCCCGATGCACTGGAGGGAACATTCCCACCACTTCCTGCTTTTAGAGCTGCTCTGGGAATGTTGGCACTTAGAGCTCTGCCTTCCACACCTTCCTTTTCCCTTCGGGCCGCTCCAAGGGTTTTCCAGCCCCTCGGGACCCTCTCGCTCCAGCCCCGTGGGGTCAGTGAGGCCTCAGTGTCCGGCACGGAGCTCTCCAAGGGCTTTTCCCGGCGCTGGGATAAGAAACAGGCTCTGAGGGCCCATTTTCTTCAGGAATTGCAGGTGCTGAGAGGCACCAAGACGCTCCACGGAGTGCAAGGGGATGAGGGGGAAACTCCAGTTCTTTTCCTTTTTCCTGTCCCATTTTCCTTCCTCTCTTATTTCCCATCTTTCCTTTTCTCCTTTTCCTCTCCCTTCAGACCCCAATCCCATTTCTGGCCCATTTGGGAGGGAGGAAGCTGCCCAAGGCCCCAGGAATTGCCCAGATCTCCCAGGTTTCAGCTCTTTTTCCATGTGGTGATTCCTAGGAAAAAAAAAAACCACCAAACCATGACGGATTTTCCTTTAAAGCCCCTGGAATTTCCCACCCTCCAGCATCACCACAGCCCATGGGCGCCTGAGCTCGACCCCCTGCGCTTTCAAAAAGAGGGAAAAAAAGGCAAAAAGGTGGAAAACACCAAGAACAAGTGGAATATCAGCCCTTGGGGGCCGGTGGCTCCACTGGTGTTTGGCCAGATCCGTCCCTTACCTGGGGAATCCCAGCAGGTCCCTCCGGGCAGGTGATTCCTGGCACTGGGAAAGCCCTTCCAGAGGTCCTAAACGTTGGTTTTTGGTTGGATTTGGACATTCTGAAGGTTTGGCCTCAGCACAGATGAGGAGTTTGGGCAGGTTTGTGCCTTTTGCAGTTCCCAACACCTTTTCTTTTCCCCCCTTTTCCTCCTCCCTGTCCCACCCTGACCCTTCCTGGCCCTTGGCACCGCCGGGCTGTGCTCCGGGAACCCCCAAACGCTGCACTAACCTGGAACGAGGCTGGAGCCCGGCGGACCCGGGGACCCCCCTGCGCCGTGCCAGCCTTTTCCTGGAATTCACTGATCCACCAGCATTCCTATGAAATAAGCTGCAGGAAGGACTTTTTTATAGATTGTGATAAAAATCCAGGGAGTGGGAGGAGTCGTATCGGGACATGATGGGCGGGAATCAACCCCACCCGTCTGTGGGTTGGTTTTCCTTTCTTTTTTCCTTGTGGAAGGCAGATCCTGAACCGCTGGCTCCCGGGAAGTACCAAAATGTTTGTTTCATCCTGAATTTCTCCAGTGGAGCCACCCCGTCTCCGCTCAACCTTTCCTTTATTATTCTTTGGGGCACCTCTTATTTGTGCTTTCCTATCGTTTTTTTCTGTTCCTTTTTGCTTCCCAAGAAGCGGATCCGCCCCGGCCTCGGCTCCCTCGGGCAGTCGGGAGCGGGCACGGATCCCATTTCCAGCCGTTCCTGCTGTAAATATCCCGTTGTGGGGCCGAATCCCATGTCAAGCCAATGGAATGGTGCTTTTTTTTTTTTTTTTTTTTTTTTTTTTTTTTTTTTTTTTTTTTTTTTTTTTTAGGAATTCCGTGTTTTAGGAGACCTTTGCTGTGTCCATGGATATTTCTGTCTTGTTTGATTGTTAGGAAATAAATTATTTCGTTACGAAAGAACCGTGTGAGGAGCCGGAACTGCTGCGGGGAGGGAGCAGGAGGTGCCTGGGGGATGGTGGGAATGGGGAAGGCAGAGCCCTCGGCCCCATCCCTCATCTTGTATCCTCCATCTCACATCACAGGAGCTTGGAATCGTTTAGGTGGGAAAAGACCTGACAGCACCGAGTGCAGCCGGTGACTGATCCTCACCATCCCACTCAACCATCGCACTTGGGGCCAATCCAATCGTTCCTGGCAAACCTCCAGGGGTGGGGACTCCCCCACCTCCCTGGGCAGCCCCTCCCAGAGCTTGACAACCCCTTCCTTGAAGAAATTCCTCATGATATCCCACCTGCCCCTCCCCTGGCACAGCTGGAGGCCGTTCCCTCTCCTCCTGTCCCTGTTCCCTGGGAGCAGAGCCCGAATTCCCCCCCGGCTCCCCCCTCCTGTCAGGGATTGCAGAGCCAGAAGGTCCCCCCTGAGCCTCCTTTTCTCCAGGCTGAGCCCCCCCAGCTCCCTCAGCCCCTCCTGCTGCTCCAGCCCCTTCCCAGCTCCGTTCCCTTCCCTGCACACCTGCAGCCCCTCAGTGTCTCTTGTTGAGGGCCCAGCCCTGGACACAGCCCTGGAGGGGCCTCAGCAGGGCCAGCACAGGGACAGTCCCTGCCCTGGGGCTGTGACACCATGGCTGGGACAGCCCAGGGGCCATTGGCCTCCTGCCCCCCTGGGCACCCCTGGGCTCACGTTCAGCCACTGCCACCAACACCCTCAGGTCCTTTCCCAGCTTTCCAGCCACTCTTTCCCCAGCCTGGAGCACTGCAGGGGGTTGTTGTGGCCCAAGGGCAGGACCCTCACCCTTGTTGGCCTCTGCCCCTCAATCCAGCCTGTCCAGATCCCTCTGCTGAGCCTTCCTGCTCTCATCCCATTTTTCTCATCCCACAGTCTCCATCCCATATCCCTCATCCATGTCCCACATCCTGCACCCCTCATCTTGCATCCTCCAGCCCTCAACCCTCCCAGGTGCTCCCAGGATGGGGTTTATCCCAGTGCTGGGCAAAACAGACTCACCGGGGGGAATATTCACTGAATTTATTACCAACAAAATCAGAGCAGGAGAATCAGAAGGAAAATAAACCTTACAAACACCTCCCCCCATCCCTCCCTCCTGCCCGGGCTCTCCCTTCACCCCCTCCAGCAGCCCAGGGAGACGGGAATGGGGGGCACGGTCAGGTCATCACGGGTTGTTCCTGCTGCTGCTCAGGGAGACGAGTCCGAGTCCTTCCCCTGCTCCAAGGGGGGTTCCCCAAAGGCTCTCACGTCCTTCCAGCAAACCTGTCCAGCCTGGGCTCCTCTCTCCAGGTCCCCACCAGGACCTGCTCCAGCACGGGCCTCCCAGGGGGTCACAGTCCGGCCCGGGCATCCCCCTGCTCCGGGTGGGCTCTTCATGGCTGCGGGTGGATCCCTGATCCATCCTGATCCATCCTGATCCATCCTGACCCTCCACGAGCTGCAGGGGCTCAGCTGTCTCCTCAGGGGCTTTCCCATGGAATCTCAGGGAAATCTCCACTGCTGGAGCAGCTCCTGCCCCTCCTCCTGCACTGCCCTGGAGCTCTGCAGGGCTGCTCCTCTCACACCTTCTCCCCCTGCTCTTCTCTGGCTGCAATTTTCACCTGCACAACAACCTTTTCCTCCTTCAGTTCATTCTCCCTGAGGCG